TATAGTTTTGGGCAGAATTTTTTCATAGTTGTATGATTGTACAATTCATACCTAGGTGCTATGTAAGTAAATAATATCCCACTGCCTTATTGTTATTTCCTCATTCAATCCAACATGATGTCAATGTTGCCAACTGGAAAAGGGTGGGCTCCAAACATGTTATGACTGCTAATTCCCAGAATATTCTGCAATTAAGATCCCAGTGCAAATAATGAAGAAGATTGGAATAAACTCTGTACACTAAGGGGCATTGATTGTATAGTACTTTAACAGCATATGACATCTAAATCAATGCAGGTGCAACAGAGGCTGAAAATAGCAAAGGCAAGGCAGGGACCAGATTACCTGAGGGACCACCTCTTCACAACTGCTTTTACCTTTTCCATCAGGTCTAACAGGAAAGACATGTTGTGGATGAACCATCTGATGAACTCTTTTCTGCTCTGGCACCTGCCCTCTGGAACATCATCCCCCATGAGGTGAAGTTAGCCACACACCCTTATGCTCTTTCACAGAGCCCCCAAAACATGCTTTTTAAAATCAGGCCTGGGGATCCCTTGGCAGCAGCATGCTGGTTACACTACACATAACATCTTAATTAACCTTCTAGCAATCTTTTTAATTATTTATGTTTATCAAGAAACATATTTATGTTTAAGTTATATTAGTTAGCATAATTTACTTAATTATGCTAGCTAAGTAAATGTTTTAAATGTTTTTTGTAGACTATTTTAATAATTGTATTATTGTATGCTGCCCAGAGTAACTTGGCATGAGATGAGTGGCTATATAAATCTGATAAATAAATAATAAAGTGTGTTTCCTCCTCATACAATTGCGGGCAATTGATGAGATAACACCAGACATGCTAAACCCCACAAAAGGCCATTCCAGTCATAAAAGGGATGAAGAGTGTCATATATATCTCAGAGGCATGTATGGTTATATTCACATCTCCCTGAGGGGAAAAAACTGAAGGAAATGCAATTTTCTCCATTATTCCAATTTCTGCACTACCCTAGCAAGAAGACAGGTCAGTAGCTATTTTAATTTTAATTACACTAAGCAACTCAGAAGAGTCTAGTTAGGAGAGACACCTGTCTCATTCTGGAGGATAAGAATTCTCAGTTCATGTTGAAAATGTCTATGGAGATTTTTTGGAAAATGAAAAATTCTTTTAATGGTAATTAAATCCTTTAGGCAAGGATAGTTTCCTGCAGTTTTGCAAAACCAGGATTAATCTCTCCTCTAGGCATTCACATTTGCACTAAGTCTAAGTTGTAACTGGTTAAACAAACCACAGTAACTGGAATCACAGAACTGATTAGCCAAACTAAACAATCATTTTATGGCTTGGTGGTTGTGTGGATTATTTTATTAGATTTTTAACCCACCTTTATTACTTTGTATAAGTAACTCAAGGCGGTGTACATATTATTTCCTCCTCCCATTTTCTCCACAAGCAACCAATATTTATTGGAAAAAGAAATAATATAGGAAGTTCTTGAATCCATACTCTAACATTAAATTTAGCAAATTGTTAGGCGTGTCATACTGTGATTAAGAGCTAAATATAGCAAAAATCCTGTTATAAGCTCTTTTCCTCAACACACAGGGACTGACAATTTCCCCCCTAATAACTATGTTACTTAGCTATAGAGTAGATGTTTCCTTCCAAGTACTCATAACGTAGTACTTTTTGTTACATATATTGAAATCATGGAATTCTGTTATTTGTATGACCCCAACATTTAATACATGATTTTAAAGAAATAAAAATACCAAGTGCTTGTTATTGAGAACTTGTTACCTGCCACATTTGGTTAAATATAATTGATTTTATTATGCTAATTAAGTAAACATTTACTTAATTACCTAGATGAAATTCTGGTAATGCAGTGTTATGAGAAGATGTACCCAGTGAAGTTGAAGTACACAGAACTTAGAGCACAGGTGTCAAACTCTATTTCATTGAGGGCCGCATCAGGGTTGTGTTTGGCCTCAGGGGGCTGGGGTGGCTGTGGCCAGGGTTGGCATGGCCAGTCCAATGTCATAGAGGCGGGGTGCCTTTGGTGGCCCGAGCGCTCTGCCAGCGAAAACAGGCTCCAAAGCTCAATTTTTGACTGCAACAACCTCCTGCAACTGTCTGCCAGCAAAAACGGAACTCAGGAGGGCCACATGTGGAACTCTGTTTTCACTGTAGAGACACCGCAGGCCGGTCCTTCGCTGTTTCTAGGGCAGTCCTGTGGGCCAGATCTAAGCACCCCATGGGCTGGATCCGGCCCATGGGCCTTGAGTTTGATACCCCTGACTTAGAGGATTGTGGTAGTTGGCAACCTTTTACAAAACTATTTGCTTTGTAAATACACCTAATGCTGCAGGTAAACTTTCCCTAGGACTGCCCTTTTTGGTGAATGTTCCAAGTTGCAAGTGTGGAAAAAGTAAGTAGCTTTACCATCTGTCCTCACATTTATGACCATTGCCACATCCCCACAATCACATGATCACAATTTCACAGTGATTATAGTCCTCGCTGTCACAATATCATGAGATCACCAACCAGCTTCCAACGAACAGTCAGTGGAGAAGCTAGCAGTAAAGTTGCAAGTTATGTGATGTCCCACTTAACGATCCTTGGTGGCTTGCTTAATGGCCAAATGGAAAATGATATTATAAATTGCTCGCAGTCTTGTGTGGCATGGCTTAGCAACTGCATTGCTTAGCGACAGTTTCCAGTCTCAATTGTGGTCGCTAACAAAGAACTATTTATACTACACTATTTCTCTATATAAAGGTCAGCATATGATATGAAAATCCTTGTTTTGTTAACCAGGAAGAACTGCTGCCTGCTAATTCAAACAATGTCGAGCTAAGATCCTATGTTCTTAATATATTTATGTAATTTTGCAGATTTATGAGGTTAAGTCTGAAGAGTGGCAGTTGGGATCACACTTCTCACTGAATCACACTGTGGGAATCTTGCTGGGGGTGAGAAAACACTGTTAATTCACCTAAAAAGCTGTACATCACTCCATCAAACCTTTGAGCCATTCTGGAGACATCCAAAGCAATATGCCTCCCAATCTTCACCCCTCACTTATTTCTGAGAGAAAAAAACCAAAGCAATCACACAGCCACAAACTGATACCCTGTTTCTCCAACAATACAGCCTCCCCCAATAGGAAGTCCCAGCATGTTTTATAGGCATGAAATGAAATTAAGCCCCTCCCCCCAAATTAAGGCCTATATTAAAACATGCGAAATGGGGGGAATGGTGGGGGGGCTTGCCATTAGGAAGAACTTTTGTTGCACACCCGGATATGGTGCTGCCTGTGTTGACCCCGATACGAAGTGCCCCACCAACGCCGAGGTCAACATCCAAGCTGTCGCCGCCTGCCTGCCCGAAGATGCAAGGGGGGGGGGGGAATTAAGTCACCCCCAAAAAGACGGCCTAGCCATTTTTTCATGGCTCAAAAAAAATAAAGACCCGGCCTTATTATATGAGAAACACTGTATTTTTGCAGTGGAGATGTAAATAGTGAACTCTTAGTATGCAGCAAATGAGAGATGCAGCTTCCATGATGCCCCACCCCATAATCACGTTTTGCACAGCAAAATATTTTGCACTATCTCTCTGGAAGTTAATACAGTCCTGCTGCATTCCATGCCCCCCCCCGCCCCCCCATTAAAACATCACACAGTCTGAATTCATCCATTAGATTTAGCTACAGAAGCCAAAAAATTAATTCAGCTAATCCAATTAAGACAATGAGCTTTTTGGTGTCAGCATGTCAAAAATTCAGAAAATGACTAATGTGACTCTGCCGGAGTATCACACCTGTCCACCCACCCCAGAACAAAAGAAGAACAATTATTTATATATTCAATTATTTAAAAAATAAATAAAGACAACTATATGTTGTTGTTGTTATTACACATTTGATATTATAATTATTATTATCAAATAATTACCATACAAAAATGAAATATGAGTAAAACTCAGACACATGTAAAATGAAAATGAAGAAACAGTTTCATTATTAAATCAGTTTCGTTATTAAAAACATTTAGAATAGTTCCAGTCATTTACCTATAGTGGCTCTCACATTTGTATTCAGAAGGATAGTGGATTATTAAGAGCTTAGAAAAAGGAAGCAAAGGGAACAAGTGCCCTGGCCCACATTTCTAAAGTTTTTTTTTTTTTAAATATTACTTCCCAAGTATTCAGTATGGTTTAAAATGTTACAGTACTCTGTCAGATGAATATTCTGCCCCATCCTTCAGAAAAAAAAAATGCTTATCAGAGACAGCTTTCAGTTGCATGAGGTCTTTGCTCTGGAAACTTAGGCGAATTCTCTTGTGTGGGCCTTGCAGCTCTGAAAAGAGCAGGAAAGCAAGTCCTATTCTCATGCGGTTTTAGAGGCTCCAGAAGCCCTGTGACTTCTAGAGCAGAGGTCTCCAACCTTGGCAACTTTAAGACTTGTGGACTGGCTGAGGAACTCTGGGAGTTGAAGTCCACAAGTTGCCAAGGTTAGAGACCTCTGCTCTAGAGAGTGCAGAGGACACATGAGAGCACACCAGATGTTCAGGTGGTCTCCGGAGTTCTGAAAATCATGCAAAAACTTCCTGCGATTATTAGAGGCTGCTGAGAATATGGTGTGCTTGTGCATGGTCTCTGGATTCCTTGGAAGTCATGCGATCTCTGGATCCTCTGAAAACCATGCAAGAATGAATACTTTTTTTCACACGAAGTTCCAGAAACCATGCAAGACATTGGTGGGATTCAAAAAAATTTACTACCTGTTCTGTGGGTGTGGCTTGGTGGGCATGGCTTGGTAGGCATGGCAGGGGAAGGATACTGTAAAATCCCCATTTCCTCCCCACCCCACTAACCTGCTTTCCAGCTCCGTTCTCCTGTGCAGGGCAACAAAAGAAGATCCAGCCGCTAAGCTAGGACTCGGGAGGCAGAGAATAGATGGCGGCAGGGCCAGTCAGAGGTGGTATTTGCCAGTTCTCCGAACTACTCTGCCACCGGTTCTCCAGAATTGGTCAGAACCTGCTGAATACCACCTCTGATGCAACAGCACAGCCCTTTGCACAATTTTGAGCATCTGGAGGCAACACAAGAACACACCACATTCTAATGTGGCCTCTGCAGGCTCAGAAAATTTGAACAAATACCAAGCTTTGCTGTCCTCTAGCAAAATTAAGCCTGTTTTTACATTAGCAGGAAACATTAATTCAACCACTGTCACTTGAAAAGATGTACTTTGTGTGAACTACACCATTATGACTTTTTCCAAAAGCTAAAGCTAAAACAAAGTATGGCTAAATGCAATCCAGAAACCCAGCAGTATTTCTTAACCTCATCGATTTTAAATTTCACGGACTTCAATTCCCAGTATTTCCCAGTTAGCATGTCGGCTAGGAATTCTGGGGATTGAAGTCCATTGATCTTAAACTTGTTAAAATTCAGAAACACTAGGCTACAGATGTAGAAGTACAATGGTGAAATATCCATGCTTGGACCTCCAGTTCTGAAAGATGAAATGGTAACCAGGAGAAAGCAGTTATGAATGTATCATCTTCTATTATTAGTCTCCTTCAATGCCCCTTCATCATTCGCAGATGTGTTCTACGTAGTAATCCTCTCAGCAGGCCCTGAACAATACTTTCCATTCGGATTTCTTTTTCTTCCAAACAATTTCTCCTTTGGGAATATGACATCATCTTTTTTCCAGTTACAGTATACTTGTTTTGTTTCTATTGTATTTGGCATTTGTCACTGTAAATATTCACTAAAGTTAACTGTATCTACTAAACATTTATTAAAACATACAGAGTAGTGAGAAAATAAAAAACAGGATACCTGGTCAGCACCACCAAGTTATCTTGCAGTTAGAAAACCTTTATGAAGTGATTTTGTATTAAGCCTTCCACATGCTCCATAAGGACATTGACGTTACCAGCACAAACCTCATACTTTGGTTTTTCATTCTTTCGCAGCATCTCTAATAGGCCCCCATGGACAGGAGGCAAAGGGTTATATGAGTTTAACAACTGGAGCTGGCTTAATGGAGTCTGTTTTATTTCCCCAATCTTCAGTGCCTGTAGAATAGCAGGTGCGAACTTAGAATAATGAGCAGTAGAAGAAATGACAACGGGGCAAGTTTTGTCTTGAAGTCGATCTGCAACCACTTTGGCAACCGCTGTGTGTGGATCCAGAATGTACCCTGTGGAATTGAACACAGAGTGTATGGCACCCAGGCAGTCTTCCTCAGAGCACCAATCAGCCACTAACTCCTGTTGAAGCTTCTGCAGGAGCTCTTCCGGCAAATGAAAGCGCTGCTGGTTTTCCAGACTGAGAAGTAACTGTGTCACTAGCTGTCCATCACCATTAGCAATCAGGTGTAAATAACGTTCAAGGTTGGAAGACTTCAAAATGTCTATTGCTGGTGACAGGCTTGGCATTAATTGCCTTCCTTGTAAATCATACAAGCCGGTTTTTAAAAATGAAGTCAAGGCATTGTTTTGATTGCAAGCACAGATACATTTCCGAATAGGGATCCCCATGTTCTTTGCATATATTGCAGCTAGTATGTTGCCAAAGTTACCTGTGGGAATGCAGACATCTATGGGGCTCCCAAACGAAATAACACCTTGTTCAATAAGGTTCAGATAAGCTGATGCATGATAAACCACCTGGGGAAGCAAGCGTGCCCAGTTGATAGAATTTGCAGCACTTAACGCCGTTCCATATTCCACTGTGAGAAAGCCAGTAAAATCTGAATTGGTAAACATTTGTTTGATGGCAGTCTGGCAAAAATCAAAATCAGCCTGGACCCCTATGGCTTTTGTGTTGGCTTCTTGGCAGCTGATCATGTGGAATTTCTGTATCTGGCTAACTCCACCATGAGGAAAGAATGTGATCACAGCAATTCTTTGTTTATCAGACTCTTTAAGTTGACCAAAAGCGTTAAGAACTGCACTTCCTGTGTCACCAGAAGTTGCTACCAAGATCAAATAATTGCAGCTTTGGGGAATGCAGTATGCAAACAGATGGGGCAGTAACTGTAAAGCCAAATCTTTAAATGAAGCTGTTGGTCCATGAAACAACTCCAAAAGAAACTGATTCCCTTGCAGATGTCTAACTGGGACGATTTTAGAACACATAAAATTTTGTCCATATGCCATCTGAATCATTTCCCATAATTTGGAAGCAGGAATATCATCAGGATGTATGCATCTTTCTAATATAATCTGAGCTCTTTCGGTGTAAGTTGCTCCTAATAAATGCTGCCATTCTCCAGTAGTGAATTTCGGAAGTCCCAACTCAGGAACAAAGAGACCACCATCTGGGGCCAGTCCTTCAATAAGAACATCACTGAAATATTTTACAAAGCTCCTTGATTTATCTTCCTTAATGGCACGGGTGGAAATGAAGCATTCCAGCTCAGAATTTTGATACCTCTTAACAGCATGAAGCACTTTGTCTGCTACATTCTCTGCTGCAATCCCATTTTCGCAGAGAACACGGACATCGTACCACTTTTTGTAAAATTGCTTCCTAAACTGAATAATGTCTCCTAACGATGTTTCTTGACCCTGTCCCACAATACGGTCTACCTTCATTAATTTCAAACGATCCATTATGCTTTCTGTGGGTACATCCAGATATACCACTATTCCATTTTTCTTCACGTGCTCCATGCTAGCAGCATTCATTGGGTTAGATCCAGAAAGGGACACTACACTTCCAGATGCTGAAAGGTTTAACAAGGCTTTTCCCTCTTCTTCTATAAACCGTTCATTCCCAATGCTCTTTAATTTTTCTGCCACAGTCATATTCCAGGTCGGTTCAAGAACATCATCATCTACATCTATGAAACTAGAGTCCAGCTTCTGACCTAGTATTTTTCCTACTGTTGTTTTTCCAGCACCTGGAGGCCCCATCAAGACAATGTTCTTATTTCCAACAAGAGAGTGCATGAAGGTCCATGCCTTCCAGGTCATGGTGAAGCTTCTTGAGAGAAACAACTTTAAATACAGATCAGAAACCATGCAGTGACATAGTAGCTTCGGGTGGCTATTCCAGCTTAGACGCAGCATCTTTTTCAAAATTCTAATTCCACCAAAAGGGAAAAAAATGCTTTAAAGGAAATAATAAATACATACTTGAGTTAATCATTTAAAATGATTGCTAGACATTTCTGACAGATCATTTCCTATCTTAGAAAAGCCTGATTTTGAATAAGATCACACATAGTTTGAAACATGATCAGTTCGAATTTCTCTGAATGACAAAGAGGTCAAACAGTTGACAGCTTTTTCTTTTGAAATCTGCCCAGAAAGGCAAATATTCATATGCTGCGTGCAACATTTCTACTTTGAAAAACAGCCACTTATGGCAGTCTTATATAAAAAGAACTTTGTAAACATTTAAATGTGTGGCATAGCTTAACTATTATATTGGCTAAAAAAAACCACCAGCAAAACAGAACAAAACTAGCAGTAACATTTTAAGTATTAGGATGAATGTTCAAAAGCAACACTGACATCAGCAGATAATGTTCTCAAAATCAATAAAAACTCCTCAGTGGCTTCTAAACCAGCTCTCCAAGCTGACATTTAGAAACTACATTATATACCATCACCTATATGGCACAGTAAACTATTGATCTTGAACATAGGGAAAGGTCACTTTAAAGCTAACTGTTATAGCTTGGTAAACCTATATAATGGGACCATCAATCACAATAAAATAAGGACTGTACAGAAACTTTTTTCTTTAAAACAAAACCCAAAAATTCAAATCACACTTCTGCAGAATGTTACACCTAACGTTTCAGTTATTTTAATGAAAGCAGAATGCTACAAAACCCCTTAATGTAATTTTTAGTTTTAAAATTAATCTGCAAGGCAAAGAATAATTTTGCTTAAATCAATGTGTCACCCCAACTTACCACTGGGTTTTTCTAGTAATCTTCTTTGTAGATAGATGGCAATCTCACACACCCTCAATTGGTATCTGTCAATTGCTTTCATGCAGAAACCAGTTACCTGTTGACTGCTTCACACTTCACCTAGATGAACCAGAATAAATGCCACATCAGCAAATGCTCTCCAGAGAGCATGAATTAACAAACATGGAGCAGGTCTTTCTAGCTCTGATAAATGTCTGTGTTGCCAAGAGTGTATTCGTTTGTTTACTCAGGGAAATCAACAACTGCATCAGCATGAATTGCAAAACAAACAGCACAGGCTATTAAGCAACATTCAGGAAGCTAAATAACCTCATATTACTTTCTTTGTTTTCAAAATTAAAGGAAATAAATTCAGAAATAACACATTGCTACCTTTTTAAAAACATGACTCTGCAATTCTGTGAATTTGCAAGGTATATATGGACATTGTTTCTAGAGAGGACATCATGTTAGCTTTCTGCAGCAAATACAATGAAAAGGTTGCAGATCTTAAAAAATGATAAAATTTATTTTTCCACTGGATTGTTCACATTTCCTTTCCCAAAGACAAGGTGAGAGAAATATCTGAAAGGGAAGATGCAATCTCCGTTTTTCATTCTTAGCCACCAGAGAAATATTTACAGCAGTGACTTTTTCACACTGGTATTAGTAATGGAGAGACAGAGGCATCTTGTGGCGAACCAGTGCTCTCCAACAGCAGTTGATCTGCACCAGTTCTGGAAGAAACAGAAAAACACCATCTCTTTAACTATAGGGGAAGTAATTTCATAAAAATAAATAGTAAAACAGTTGAAAATGCTACGCTTCTCTGCTACATAAACTAAAATAGGTTATGGATTCTCCAAGACCATTACCATTGGAATTTCCCACTGCACTGGGTAGGATTGTTTTTCGCACTGTAAAACTCACTGAAATAAAAAAAGAAAAGAAATAACTTTAGTTTGTTCATGAAAGTGTTTTGAAATTATTTACTGATTCAGAAATCATGGACAAATCATTAAATGTAAGTTAGATCAAGCCACCATGTAATTCAATGCCCATTCTGATGTTACAAAGGGTAGATCCATGCAAAATTAGATTCCTGCTAAAATCAATAGCACCTACATATATACCACTAAGACAAAGGTTTAACTTGTTATAGAAAATAGTTTCTGTCCCAAGCTTGTCCATTTCACTAGGCCATAATGTAGAAAGCTATGTTGATTTTAGTTTAGCATGACTCAATCACTATGATTATCAACGATGGTTTATGACTCAATATTTATGTCCCAACCAACCAGATTTTTTTATTTTGCTTCAGAATTACTGATATTCCAAGAAAACAGTACTCTTGTGTAAATGACAACAATGTATTGGAATAAAACTTCCTCACACTCTTCCTTTCATATTTCACACCAGCTAACAGCTGCAAAATTTAATTGTTCTGGTTTCATTCTTGGGAGATCAATAGTCTTATAGTAAAACCAGACGACAACAAAAAACGACCTATTAATTCAGAGGGAATTTGCGTGCAATTCAACAGCATTCCCCTCCATTTCCCTTTCTATTCTTCCCGGCCAGCAAAGCAGGAATGTTTGTTTTGTCACTGGACAACAAAGTTCAGGGATGATAGTCCTATGGCAAGATCAGATCAGATCGGGTTATAAGGTCTAATTGTCAAGAGTCAGGTGTTCAATCTCTCTGTTGACTCAGTAGACAGACCAATATTTTTATGTATGTGGGGTTTTTGGAAAAAAATTGTCTTCCAACACATCAATAGACCTAACTGAGGTAAAGAAAAGGAAGGCTGAGATCAGGTCTGCCTTCTTGCTTCATGCAGTGCCCTTCCTAATCTTCACCAATCAAATGAGATTTTTTTTTATTGACTTGGATGTATTAATCTTTGGAAGACTCAAAGATATGTAGGAAGCATTGTCTTCCAGGAGACATATTCATTTTCCAAAAAACAAACAAAAAGAACTTAACAAGCTAGATGTTTGGTCTCTCTTACAGCCCTAGTCAAAATGAATAGAAGTGTAGTACAAGACAGTGTGCCTGTAACAAACTTAGGCAAGCACAGTAGCAGGGAAAGTTACAATCCTTACAGTATCATTATTACCTTCATTACCAAAACATCGTAAATTGTTCACACTGCAGGGTTTTGTGTCAGGAGGGAAGGCACTATGTTCATTTGGAACAATTGAAGATGATTTAAGTTAACATCGCCATACAAATTGGCAATGAAATGAAAATGACATTGGGAGCATATATTGGTCAAGATGGTTACTGAAATGTCATTCCATAGTAATAGGACATGACGGTATAACATATTTTTTTCTTGGTTGCGCTCCAATTTGATGGCATATAATAAAATATAGAATTGTTGCTACTGTCTTCTTCTGGGATGAATTTTTTTTTAAATTTCTTGGGCTTTTCAATAGCCCAAGATTTTTTAGTGATCATCCATCCAAGTATTACAACACCTGACCATATTTATCTTTTAAAATTATAGTGTACAATTACTTTAGATTCACCAAGAACCATAGTGGAGCAGAGATTAGAATGTAGTATTGCAGGCTAATTCTGCTGACTGCCAGCAATTTGATTCTCACCGACTCAAAGTGTACTCAGCCTTCCATCTTTCCAAGGTTGATAAAATGAGGACCCAGATTGTTGGGGGCAATATGCTAACTCTGTAAACTGCTTAGAAAGGGCTGTAAAGCACTGTGAATTGATATATGTCTTAATGTTATTGCTTATTTATTTCTTAATGTCATTTCTACTGCTTAACTGATTTGTAATTTAGATTATCTAACAACATATGTGTGATAGCAATAAAAAATCTCAAATGAGCAACTTCATTGTATATACAAAACTAGATCGGAGTTTAACTAATATCATTAAAAAAAGAACAGCTATACGTAATTCTAAATCATAAACAGGTTTTTGTATAATTGAATACATACCTGAAGAAAATAGGAGATATTTTATTTCAAATGCCTTGATCAACTGAAATAGATAGTGAAGGAAATTCTTTACCTAGTTTAATCCTCAACGTTAAAACTACAAGCAGTATAAAATGTTAGTCTTTTATAAATGTTTTCATTTATGTACAACAGAAACTATGGGGTGGATTTGCCTTCTCTTGCAAGCAGGTCTTGGCAATTTTCCACTTGGTTAATATAACCATGGAAATTAGGAAAGGTCTAATTTCACCTCTATTTGGAATACAACCCTCTTAGTTGCAATTTGTTCTTGTTCAGCTCACAGTAGTAACATTTATAGTAACATATTGAATAAAACTAACATCATATATCCTTTATTAAAACTTGCCATTACCCCTTCTTAGTAGACAATAATACAGGATATCACTCCAAAGCTTTTCCAAATTGCAAAGTAACGAAGTCTCAATAAAGGACATGGCAACATAAAGATTAATGGGGGTGGAAATACTAAACATAGTTCTGATGCATATTATTCTAGAATAATTCATTCAAAGATAAATTATTTTAATTTCTAGAATTAGGATTCAATCTCTACAATAGAATGATTTTTTTCCACAAAAGTGGAAAATCTAGAGTGCTAGATTCTTCAAGGAGATGAGAAAACTGTGGCCTTAAGAATACTTCTGGTTATAATTCCCATCATCTTTGACTATTAGCATATTTGCTGGAGTTACTTGATTTTAGGAGCATCTGATGGGCTATGACATTTCTTTTTCTTTTTAAGTTTTGTTTTATTAATATAGTATATAAAAATTCCATTTCAGTCAAACAGTGTATTGTCTGGGTACAACTGTTTTTAGGCAATCATAATCAGTGTTTACAATATCATTCATCATAATAAGATTAATACTGTAGTAATAATATTTTGTCTATTTTAACAAATTCCCATTTTAACGTTTATCCTTTTTATGTCCCTTTCTTTCTAACTTCTGTTTTTATTATCTAGCCATCAATAAAACTAAGCAGCAACTTAGTAGTCAAGGAATAGACAGTGCATGGTGGCCACAAATCCAGATATAATCTCACTGAGAAAGATGCTAAAAATGTATGGTTTTAATAAAGAATTGACAAAACTGTACCAGATACTAACTGGAACAGATGAAAAACTGATAAAGAAAATATATTTTATTTATTTTGTATTAAACTTGAAAGTGAGCAGGTAGAGGAGGCAATGACTGGGCTAAAATTTTTGGATATGCAATAGAATTAGACAAATGGCGGAAACTGTGGGATAGAAATGTTAAATTGACTATGTCAACTGCATAGAAATAAAATTTGTATAAAATATTTTACAGATGGCATTTTGCGCCAAGATTGGCAAAAATGTATAAGGATAGATTTGCTAAATGTTGGAAATATAATAAACATCTGGTTCATATTACCATATGCGGTGTCCACAAGCTAAAAAATATTGGAAAATACATACCTAGTTGAAAAAAATGATAAAACAGCATATAGACATGAAACCATAAATATTCTTATTGAGTATTCTACTAGAAAAATATGAGACTACACTTGATTTAACATGTATTAACTGCAGAATTGTATATGCTCAACAAAAGAAGTCTGATGAGAATGTAATTAAGGAAATATTAGAATGTGCAGAAATTGATAGACTAATGTTTACTATTAAGGACAAAAAAGAAGCTAAATATTTTTTGACATGGGATTCATTTTATCGAGGGCTATCAAATTTCTTATGACCCTCCTGAACCAAACAACTCTTCGGCTGTTTTAACTTGCTAAGGAACCTCCCAGGCTGGTATTTTTCAGATTCAGGCCAATCCAATTTTATACAGTGGATAAGAAATCAAATAAAATCAAATAAAATCAAATAAATCAAATAAAAAATGACTTCGTCCATGTATGTTTCCATACATGAAACTCGCAAACCTCCATTTACTGTTGAACTACAATTCCCAGCATCCCTCCCTATTCTCTATACAGGCTGAAGCTGTTGGGAAATGAGTTTTTGTATCTTCTAAAGGGCTGCCAAGCGCTTCTCCCTGCATGATTCCCACTCAGTCAAATGGTTATGAATTCTATTCATGAAAAAGGAAAGATATGCATGTCTCCCAAATTCAGAAGGAAAAGCTAAGCAAGAATATTTTCCAATGCAGATTTTTTTTTCTATGAACTCTCCCCTCCCCTTCAAGCACCAGCTCCAGTCGAGATACATACTATTACGCATGCGCACGCTTCCACTCCAACCTCCTCCGAAGATCTACCGAACTACTTCCTATCTATTATTGTAGGCGTTCTTCCCGCTAACGCTCTTATCGCGCTTGCGCACCGTTCCATCGAGCTCTGTGCTCCGCCCCATTCGGCCACCCATTGTTCGTTATGATTCCGGAAATGATGTCATAAAGCCGGTCCCCTCTTCTACACAAATGTGTTACCAAGCAGTTGTTTCTAGGGGCAACCAAACAGTGGGTTTGTTGCTACTCATGTAAAACTCATTCTCTGAATGAGGAAGAATTCGAATACGTTCGGAGAAAAGCCCTAGAAGAGACGGGAAGGGTGGGCGGAGAGGGAGAAAAAAATAGATTGGAGAAAAATATTTTTGGAACAGGTAAGCAGGTAGTTTGAAGTAGTGAAGAGAACTGTACTAGTTTTTGGAATTAATTTATTACATGCGTGCTTCATCTTCCCTTCAGGTGGTGTAGTGAGATTTCTACTTTGCCTCTCCCGCTTCCTCTTTTCTGCCCTAACAATCTTGTAAAGATAGGAGAGAGGATGGCTGGGTTCATATAACATGCTAAGCCATAAAATGGTTCTCTTGTTTTGGATTGTATCTTATGAATCTAATCGTTGTTGTTTGTTAAACCATGCTAAAGTGTTGTGTGAATCCAGCCAGTTGTGGTGAAACAGAAACTGCTTTGGTTTAGAGAACCACATCTTAACATGGTATGTGAATGCTGGCAATGATTTTTCTGAGATCCCCTGTGAATTTCATAGTCCTGACTTCGGTTAGACTCCTGCCCTAGTTCAGTGATATAATTTGAATGCTATATTGCTTCTTCACCTTGATTTGAATATGTAAAGCATTCCTCTAGTGACTCAGATGACAGTATATTGGGATCTCTGAGTAGCTTTCCTTGGAGCAGAGAGGGGTCTTGAGGTACTTTGAACTAGAAACCATTGGGCTGTGCCTCTCCTCCTCCTGCTTATTCAGGTGATCACTATTCATGAATATAAGCTGAAAGTTCTGCAACAGATGTATAGAAAAATGAAGTTTGATACCTGGCAAGATAATATGGTTAGTCATATTTATCCCAGAGGTTTTATCTTGGGTGTGCCATGTAAATCTCACTTAGGCTTCTCAACCAGCATCAAGAGTATGGTTTTTAATAAGTCAGAAAGCTACCACATCTACTTAAACTATATGGGAGAGCCATTGGTTGGCAAAAATTATGTAGACATTTGTATACAAATTATAAGTAATATATTAAGCTTTAGGTGATTTAAAGTGATTGTGATTTTCTGCTGGCTAGAAAAAAAAGCGGATGATAGTGAAGGGCAGAAAATGAAGAATATGAAAGAGAAACTCTGAAGGAAAGCCAGAATGTTTGCGTATGCATGGGGAGAGTAGGATAAAGAATGACATGAGTATGAGAGAAAATATGACAGGTAATTTTTTTTTAATAGCTAAGCAATTTAAATAATTTATTTGTAGGCCTGTTACGATGACAGCTATGGTCATGGAGGAGAGCATTTATAATCTTCTACCTCAGATTGTGGAGAAGTCTCGGATAACAGAGAAGCCTAGGTATGGGAACAAGAATCTTTCCCCTGGCTGATGTTCTGACATGGTTTTGCATTTAACAATAACTGGTATGCTTTTTTTTTTTTTGAGACATATGTTAAGTATTACATTTTCTATAGGAAGAAACTGAATATAGGATCTCCCACCACTTAATAGGTTAGTACTGCTAATTTACCAATACCTGCATGTCTCTTTTATCTACAAAAATAGGAAGACTGTTTGCACCTGCTCCTTTTAAATCAGTTTTATATATTTATTGGGGAAAAATAGAGGAAGAGTGCTTGCCTGTACATGTCAAATAAATTCTTTTTGAATCTGGGAATAAACACTCCAAAAGATGTCTGAATGAACACTATAATATTATACTATATATTAAGTTTATACAATATGCAAATTTCAACATTTTTTAAACTTTTATTTCTCTATTTCATAGAGATCTGAAATTTTGATAATATGGATTTGATACAATATTTCTTTTGCAATGTTATTCTGAAGTAATGAACAACTCCAGCAGAATGCAACTTTCATAAAAAGCTGTGCTACTTTATTTCCTCTTGGTGTCTTCAGGAATAAATTCCAGGAGTCAACCTGTCTGTCAGGTCTCTTATACTAAATAGTTCTGTCAGCAGCTTGAGCAAGTGTTGCTCCAGATACGGAGAATTTATGTCAATGTGTCATTCAATTTTATTTTCCACAAGATGCCGCTATGCTGCTAATGATGAAACTGGTTGATCTTCTCTTATGAGATGAATCTCGGAGGCAGATCAAGTTTCTTTACCCTGGCAGTGCTAATTCCGGAGACAGATGCACATTTGGGATCAATAGAAGAGATAGCAAAAATTCTGTTATGAGTGCAAAAAAAGCTTTCAATATGCCATCAAGGGGATATAGGCAATGAGAGGAATTATAAATAGTCAGTGTTAGGGTAACATGAGTGGCAATTGCCTCTTACTCGTACAGCCATTTACTGGCTATCAGCTTGGGTTGGGTAAATGGCAAGGGAATTATAATCCGGCATTGTGGTTGCCATAAAAAGAGAACATGAACTAGCGGTGTCATTCATATCTCAACAATTGTCTTTCTTGTTTATCTGTATCCCACCTTTAGTATATTTACAAATAACTCAGGGTGGCAAATAATCCAACACACCTTCCTAATCCAATATTCAACAACCCTGTGAGGTAAGGTTGAAAGAGAGTGACTGGTCCAAAGTTACTTCATTGGCTTTCATGGCTAAGGCAGGACTTGAACTCACAATCTCCCATTTTCTAGCCTGGTGTCTTGATCACTAGACCAGACTGGCGCTCTCTATATAAAGAGCCAATTGGCCAGTGAAGGAAAAGCACTTTTTTTCCATGCACACATCTCTTCTGGAAAAAAATATATCTGACCCAAGGAAAAAATTAGTGGGTTTCGATGCCACTTGCCAGTACTGGAAAATCTGAGTAGGATCCACACCTACCCAGCATCTGCCTAGACTCTATGTTTAAATGGGGCAGAGTATCTTCTCCTGAATGTGATGCTCCTCAGCAGATACTGGATCATATAGTGACTAGCTGCCATTTGAGATCTTATACAGCAGTCCTTCTCCAACTAACAAATACTGTGCTTAATTGGATAAGTGGACTAGATATTAATATATTAAATACCGTATTTGCCGGCGTATAAGACGACTGGGCGTATAAGACGACCCCCCAACATTTCCACTCAAAATATAGAGTTTGTTATATACTCGCCGTATAAGACTACCCCCTCTTCCGCACACCTTCCACTTTTGCACTTTTTTTTTTGGAGGCACTTTTGTGCACCGTGGAAACGAATCCTGTGAAGCCGAAAGGAGCAGCCAGCCTTCAGGCCGATGTAGGCGGGCCTCCTTCTCCCAGCTCCCAAGGAAACGAGGCGCTCAGCGGCCTCCGCTCGCACCGCCCGGCCTCCGCTCGCACCGCCCGGCCTCAGCTGCAACAAACCAGAGAAGGCATCCCCCTCATTGGGCTCCAGCTCTTTTTTTTTTTTAACATGCAAGGCTTGGGAAAAGAGTTTCCTGGTAGAGTGGTTTATTATTTCTGAGTTGCCCAATAATATCTTGTCTTATTTTTTGAAGCATCATCCATATTTTAGTCCCCATCAGAGAAAGGTAAATAGTCCTAATTTCAGAACTGGATAAACCCAGGGAAAGCATACCACCAATGGGAAGAAAATATGGGTGAGAAAGGACATAAAGAAGAGGTGAAACGGGCTATTTTGCAACCCATATAAACTTTGCTGCTCTCTTTCTTCCTTGGGTCTCTCCCCATAGAGGGAAAAGTATAATCAACTAACTGCATGTTCCTCAGAGTAAAGGACTTTTCCTTTACTTGGGCATCAAAAGCACTGACAGCGTTGTAAAACCAAGGATGGAAAGAAGCCATTTCTTTTGCTCAGATGTGGTAGTAAATGGATGGAAGCAATTCCTAGCAAAGTACCATCCTCAAGCACTGGAAACAAGCAGGAAAGGATGCCTACATCACTGGGTTCAAGCAATTGCCTTTAAAACTCCCCCAAGAAATCCAGGGTTTCTGAGAATAAATTTCTCCAGGGAGATTCCTGTTTCAAGAACTTTTCCTCTTCTTTTATTTTGTTTATCCCCACCGCTTCTCTGAGAAGTCAAGGCACCAAACTGACTTCCTCATCCTTTAAGGGAAGCTGCTACACAGGCACCTAACTCTTAACAACCTTCCATAGATTGGAGGGGACTGAAGGGACTTTCATAATTAAGGTGAAAGGCTGAAACTGGTAGAGTGAAAACAACGCCGACTTTCCAACAGAGCAGAGCTGACCCAAAACACATTGCCGGCGAAAGTGACTTTAATGGTTTCATAACGCAGCCCCGCTGCAATAGATGCGCTCATTCTGCCAGAGGGGGTTCTGGGCTTCTTCCCTGAGGATTCCTACATTGGTGGCACCTCTGATGGCACCTCTGAAAGAGGTTCCCAGCTGAGGGAAACAGCGAGGGTTGATTGCGAGGCCTTCTCCTCAGGTCAGGAGCACTAGTGGGTGGTCCCGCTCACGGGCTGCCGCATGCTTCGGGACCCTCGGCGGGCACTCACCGCTCTGCCCCCTGTGCGCGCATGCGACGAGGCGGCAGGCAGCCCAGCCCCATCAGCCGGAACCAGCCGGCATTACATAATCTTGCCGCGATCCTGATCCGGTCCCTGAGCCAGACGAAGCCACCGGCAAACGGACAAGGGGTGGGGGAACTGGGGCGCCGGTTTGATTAGGAACACACACACGCACAACCTGCCTACCAGCGCGGGGAACACGCGGACGCACCTGAGGGAAATGCAGAGGAGTTGCTGGAGGCAGCCGCTGCCGAGCAGAGGCCCCAAATTTTCCAACTAAATACGCCGGGGGACGGGGACGGGGGAGGGGGTAAGCAGGGACCGTCGCGAACCAGCGGCCTCAGCGGCAGCAGGACACCGCAACCCGCAAGGGTCGGGAGGGTGGGGGGAAGGTGACCGGCTATCCCAGGCTTACGGCCGCACCACCGTCATTCCGGGTGGTGCCGCGGGCAGCCGCAGTGCTTCCCAATTACCATTTGCCGGCGTATAAGACGACCCGGCGTATAAGACGACCCCCCCACTTGGAGGCATGTTTTTCAGGGCAAAAAAGTCGTCTTATACGCCGGCAAATACGGTACTTCATGTATTTTAAAATGTAACCTATAGTGTGTGTGTGTTCCTTAAATCTTACAAATCTTACAAAATTGATTACATATCTCCATCATATGCCTACCATAGTATTATGTATTCCTTCTGTTTAATCTTATTATTGATGTTCATGGGCTCTATACCTCTGAGCTGCGGCCCAGTAGTGGACTCTGAGCTGTTTGCAACTAGGTCATGGAAATGATGGGCAAACGTGTGTGCATGCACATGCATCCCCACTTGAGTGAGCAGCAGGCAAACGCATGTGTGCTCCATTTGCATGAGCGGCAGGTACGTGTATACACGCTGCTCTTGCAAATGGAGTTGCGCTTGAGCACATGCTTGCCATCATTCGTGCGGAACCATCCCCTCTCCCCACCCCCCACCCCCGGTTCGCAAAGTTATAAAGGTTGGGGAACTCTGCTCTATGCCATACACTAAATAAGTAAATAAATGTCTCCAGTGAGTGATGTTCTCTGGGCAATTTATAACAGAGAATATAGAGCAAGGGTGTCAAACTCAACTTAGAACTGGCCCGTGAGGCCATCCTGGAAAGACCGGCCCATGGTGGCTCTGCCAGTGAAAACAGAGCTCAGGAGGCACAGCCCTCCCAGACTTTGTTTTCAGTCATGTTGGCATCTTGCAGCCAAATGGAGCTTGGCAGCCCATTTTCGCTGGCAGAGCACTTGGGCCACCACAAGTGCCCCTGACATGAGTGATATCAAGCCATGTCCACCCTGGCCACACCCACCCCAACCCTCGAGGTCGAACACAACCTTGATGCGTCTCTCAATGAAATCTAGTTTGACATCTCTGATATAGAGGCTGGTTATATGTAGCATAATGTAATTTGCTTGGCTTGGGCTTACATCAAGCTACTGGAGCTTCTTTCCACAGGCAACATGACTGTTATAATTAACCCAACTATTGTTTGTAAACCAGATTTTATGGCTTTGCAAGTTATAACTATTAATTCTGTCAGCTGTAGTAGTTTAAATATATGGGTTCAACTTTCGTCCCAAAAGAGTAGTATTTCTGTTTTAGGAATTGTGATGCTGGAACTTGTTAAATAAAGGGATAGGCAATAATCCCTATAGTGTTGATATGACTTTGGAATCCTGAGGTTAGTTTAGGTTACTGAGGTTATTGAGATTAAACTACATTTTTATTAAAGGGGATTTATTAAAAACCAGTTAACTATCTTTTCCCTTCTTGAAGCTGAATAAGAGTATTGCAAGCTCGGAGAGAAATTAATTATAAATAAAATTTGATGTTAATTCAACAAATCATGGCATCAGAGTTTAAAAAGCATTGCCCATTTTTCTTATTTTTTTCCTCTGCCATTTAATATATGTGAATTATAAAATGCATAATCATTGTTTTAAACAAAAATAAATTCAGAACCATATTGTTCATCGGAATCATTTTGAACTTTTAAAGGTGCAATATTCAGCAATACAATTATCTATGGAATAATGGAATCTTATCTTCTGCTGACTTTAACTTTTTTGTCGATTTTGTCTCTCTCTTTATTAAAGTTTTGTATCAGCATTTAGACCATATGTGAAACGTGCAATACAGCAAAGTAAATCACAATGGAAAACAATTGGACCCCCAAAAGTCCAAGTGCCCTCTCCAAAAAACTTCCTTCAGAAACATTCAAAAGAACCAAAGTTACCAACAAGTATGTTTTTGACATAAGAATATTTGAAGGCATTTTACCATTTTTATTTTGTATTTTATTATTTAATATGTAGGACTGGTATGTTCCTTTTCTTATGATTTTTGAAGGGAAAATCTGTAAGCTAATGAAATGATTACAGAAGCATAGTAAGTGTTCCAGACACCTGCTATATTTGCATTCCAGTTCATTGTGAAGCACAGTTTGGACAACAAAACAAAGTGGTACACAACTCTATTAATCAGCCAGTCTTCTTCACAAAGGGAGAAGGGGGGAAAGAAACAATCTCCTCTAAATGCTTTTCAAGAGAAATTCCAAAAACCTGGTCTTATAATATAATTTAGAAGAGAAAAATCATTCTAGAGGTACAGTATTGTACCACATTTTTCGGTAAAATTTAAAATGTTGGGATGAATTCTGAAGATTGCCATTTTTAAGAAAAATATGGCTGCCACGATGGGTGTGACTGGTTACAAAACACCCAAAAAAGGAAATGAGTGTTTCCTTGTCTTTCTAAGCAAGTAGACTCCTTTCTGAAGAAATATGTTATATTGTACATGGCTGCAAAATAAGGAGCAGCAGGAAAAAATAGCATTGTAGATTAAATAAACACTGATTGGTGCGTATGTGCCATTTATTGATAAATTCAAATTTATAAGTTTCATTTTAAGTGGTTTTTATTTTGTAAAAAAAAATAAAAATTGAAAATTTTTAAAAAATTTAATGTTGGAAAATATCTAAATATAATTTTGTGGATTGTTATTTTTCTGGAAAAGAAAAAAAAGATCAACGCAGTAAAAAAGCACTGGAACTAAGTGTGCCCAAAAGAACAGATCATCCAATAATGGGAGTTCAGTGTACAAGGAATTTCATAAACACAAATACAAGTAATGCTATCATGGCAGTGCCCAAGAAACCATTACCAGTTTATGTAGACAGAAGGCAAGGAGACAGATTTCTTCTGGAAACTTCAGGTCTTGTTCCAAAATATCTCAAGAAAAAGGTAGGTTTGTACAGAGTTGGGGAAAAAATGGAGCTGAAAAATATAGGTAGTCCTCATCTTACAACAATAGGTGTAGTGACCGTTTGAAGTTACAACAGCACTGAAAAAAGAAACTTACAACTGGGCCACACACTTAGGATTATCACATCATTCCAAATTGGGTGGGATTCAATTTTTTTAACAACCGGTTCTGTAGGCATGGCTAGGTGGATGTGACAGGATGGGCATGGCTTCTTTTTTTTGCAGCACCCCCCACACCTGGGGGTTTTGCCACCTGGGCCTCAGGGAAGCCTCCTTGGGGGGGTGTTTTTGCTCCCAAGAGGCTTCCCTGGGACCCAGGAAGGCAAAAAATGGAGCACAGGGGGGCACACAGCACCCCCACCCCCACACTCCATTTTTGGGCCTCCTGGGCCTCAGGGAAGCCTCCTGGGGGAGGGCATTTTTGCTCCCAGAAAGGCAAAAAACAGAGCGCAGGGGGGGCATGTAGCATTCCCCATGCTCCGTTTTTGGGCCTCAGAGAAGCCTCCTGGGCGAAGCAGTAAGACAGCGAGGGGGATCCCAGCATAGCTGATCATCAGAACAGCTGATCATCGGGAGGGGAGAAAAAACCTTAAGGAGTGACTGGGCAAGGGAGAATGTCAGGCACTGACTGGGTGGAGTAGAGAGGGGAGGGGCCAGTCAGGGGCATGATTTTACGATTCTCCGAACTGCAGAATCGTAACAATCGGTTCTATAGAATTGGTCCAAACCGGTAGAATTCCACCCCTGCTCAAAATACAGGCACTTGGCAACTGGCATCTATTTATAACAATTGCCAGCATTCCCAAGATCATGTGATTACCATTTGCAGCCTTTCAGATGACTTCTGAAAGCAAGATTAGTGGAGGAAGTAAAATTCATTTAATGACTGTGTAATCAATCGCAGTGATGCCGTTCGCTTGGCAATTGTGACAATAAAGATTGTAAAATTGGGCATGACTTAATACCTGCCTTAGTTAACAATAAAAATTCTAGCCCCTCTTGTGGTAAATCAAGGGCTACCTATATAGTTGGTATGTTTGTATACCCAGAAACAGATTTTGACTGTGAAATGTTTATTCTGAAACCCATTGAAATCAGTTAAGTTTACTTCTCATTAAGCATGCAGAGGATTGCATTGTGCAATTCCCAGGAACCATTGAACTTATTTTGATTTCTATTATCATCAATTAATTAATTCAATATGAATAGTGTAGTTAACTGATTTGTTTTTAGGGAATGCCAACTCTACTATTATGACTATATAGGCTGATCTCACCTTGAAAATTTAAGTTTGATATTCACATGTTCACTGAAATGGATTGAACTGCATTCTTAGTCCAAAATGGAAGAGTTGTATTACATACGGAAACTATGCTTTTTAACAGTTACAAAATGTATTTTTCTTATAGGATTACGGAGTGATTCCAAAATATGTAATAAAGCGAAATGAAGATACAAAAAAGGCTCAGGAAGAATATGATGCCTATGTCAGGGAGACTCTCAGACAAAAAGCCATGAAACGGCTCACAGAGCAAGAGAGAGAAACTCTTTTAGAGGTAATGACTTGAGAAATACTGCAACTGAGATGGGCACAGTTTCGCTAGATGGAGCTCTAAAATTGTTCTATGTTGTTATGTTCTGACAAATGCCAAGTAGGTAGGAGTGTTACCATGTTGATTTGAAAAATGAATCGTTTGCCTTTAAACTTTTCATTGTATGCGTATTTTGTAGGAGATATATATGTATGTATGTATGTATGTATGTATGTATGTATGTATGTATGTATGCATACATATACACACAAATTTTGTGTGTGTGTATATATAGGTGTTCTCAGCATTCTTTAGAAAGAATGCTGAGAGCAACAAAGATTATTAGACCAGATACACACACACACACACACACACACACACACACACACATGCCACATTTTGTGTTTGTGTGTATCTCTCATCTAATAATCTTTGTTGCTCTTCTCAGCATTCTTTCTAAAGTCTCAATATCTTTTCAATATTGTGGTTACCAAAACTGGACACAAAATTCCAAGTATGGTCTTATGAAGGCATTATAAAGTAGTTCTAACACTTCATTTGATCTTGATTCTGTTCCTTTGTTAATGCAGTGTAGTGCAGTCTAGGACTGCATTGGCTTTTGGGGCAGATGCATCACATCACTGGCTTATATTTAAGTGATTGCCAACTAGGACTCCAAGATCCTTCTCACAGTTGCTACTATTGATCCAGGTATCTATACCTGTGTCTTTGGTTTTTCTTGCCTAAATGTAAAACTTTTCTCACCATTACATTTTTATTTTGTTAATTAGGAGGAGTGTTCAAGTTTATTGAGATCCTTCTGTATCTTGAGCCTGTCTTTTAAAGTGTTGGCTATTACTACCAGCTTGGTGTTGTACGCAAATTTGATGGACTCCCCTTTTATCCTCTAGTCATTCTCATCCATTCTCTCTCTCTTTGTCTCTCTTTTAGAGATCTATCAAATTTTGCTAAACACATTTTAAAAATGTTTGATTGCAAACATAGTACTTCTGGGCTATGTTTCTGTGCTACTTATTAAAGTAGACTTTATTTAGGATTCTGTGAAAGCCTGGAAAAATGTACAACTTGATTAAGAATTTTTTAAATTTTTATTAATGCGATGTTTCTGAACCTTGGCAATTTTAAGCTATGTGGACTTCAACTCCTGAATTCTTCAGACAGGAATAATTTTCCCATGCTAGCTAGGGAATTGTGGGAGTTGAAGTCCACATAGCTTAAAGCTGCCAAGATTCAGAAACACTACATTAGTGCAACTCTTATTACCAACATCTCTTTTTTCAGGCCACATGGAAACCTGAAAAAAGGTGCTGTTTTTAGCATTTAACAGAAATGTTGAATAATACAATCTTTCCTGAGAATATAGGATTACAGCCTTTGTGCGTTTTTAGATACTTTACTGCAATGATTCTCAAACTGGCCCATTTTAAGGTTGCCTCCTAGAATTTTGGGGATCAAAGTCCACATATCTTAAAGGGGCCCAGTGTGAGAAGCACTCCTTTACTGCATTCTAATTCTTCTTTTCTTTTTTTCCATGTAGGGTCTCAAAACGAACTGGGAGGAGGTGCATCAGGCATTCCAAAACCTTTCAGTAGAAATAGATACATTACCCAAGAAGCTTTACAGAGAAAAGCTGGAAATAGACATGAAACAGTTGGAACATGATATTCAGACAATTGAGAAACACAAAGTTATTTACATAGCAAACAAATGAGGGTGTCTTTTGAGGATCATTTTTCTGTGAGATAGTTTACTTTCAGTGGAGATATAAATTGCATATATAAGTAGAAAACTATTTGAGGTTTTAAAATCTTTGTTAAAATTTATCATATTTTACATTTTGTTTCCTTTTAGGTGATTATTTATTTTTTCAATAAAGGCATATTTTTCTCCAGAGTATTTGGTTGCATGCTATTTTTAAAAAGTCTCTCAAGGTTTCCAGGGTCTTTATTATATAATTCAAAGAGGATGAAAAATAATAGCAGATAGGAATGATTTACCAGACAGTTAATAGTGATAAATATTCATTAAAGCGCCAAGTTATTCAGTGAATTGTTTAGTTTTCAAATAATTTTATTTAGCTTGGTATGCAGACTACTAAAATCATTTTTGTGTTTGCTTTTACTGTAAACTACCCAAATGAAAAAAACCAAGTAAAATTAATAATTAAAATTACAGGTAGTCCTCGACTTATAACCATTAGTTTGGCAAGTTACAACGGCACTGAAAAAGGTGATTTGTAGTCAGTTCTTGTACTTACTAGTATGGCAGCAACCCATGGCCACTTGATCAAAATTTGGGCACCACGCAACTAGTGTTTACATGGTTGTAGCATCATGCAGTCATATGCCACCTTCCCAGCAGGGTTCCAACAAGGAAAGTCAATGGGGGTGGGGGGTAGGGGGCAGATTCATTTAACAATTGCATGATTCATTAAAAAATGCAGAGATTTGCTTAACAATCATGGCAAAAAGGTTGTAAAATTTGGCACAAGTCACTTAGCCATCGCCTTGAAAATTCTGGTAGCAATTGTTGTAAACTGAAGACTACCTAAAAGTCAAAATCATCAATGGAAATCCTGTAGAAAGCATGTTTCAAAAATCTAATAGAGATGCCAGGGTTCACAGAACCAGCATAGCAATAGAAAAGGCTAAATTTATTCAAGTTCAGTGTGTATATGTGTGTGTATTAGTCTTTATTTTGGAAACATCTTTGGGGGGTTAAAAATACATATATAATGAAATATAACAACCAAAATTCAAATCAATTAATTTAAAAATCTAATGGAAAGTACAAGCAGAATATTAGTAACTCTCTGAAATTGGAGCATCATTATGACAACCATATTATCCATCTGTCACCTAAAGCTCTCGTAAAAAACTCTATTTGTATCTGGAAACAAGACAGTGATTGAGCCAAACTGATTTCTATAAAGAGATTGTATTGCAAATAACAGGACCATAAGAAATGAATGTCTTTGCTCTAGCCCCCACTTGAATTCATACAAACTAAGAATCACCAAAGGTTTATCTGGGAAAGAATGGCTTAAAGCAGTCCTGCAAGTTTTTCGGTTCCATACACTTTAAAATACACATAAAAACCTGCCAACCAATAAAGGATACATAATGGAGATATGCTTTGTTCTTGGTGATGAACATCAGCAAATAAGTGGAGCTAAACATTCTATACCTACTGTAGTTTCCAAGTAGTGTTCAGAGGCAAACCCACATGGAGTGCATTGCAGTAATCCAAGTTTGAAGAATGATAAAGCATGTATTAACTGTTGTGCATTACTTCCATTCCTGCAAAATTCTTTCCTGTCATAGCTTTCATCTGCTTACCCAACAGTAGCACGACGAGTAGACTTCGTCATTGGTAATACTTAAGAGACAACATGGGCTGATAACTATAATGAATATACAAACACTGGACCTGACTAACAGTGTTGCTGGTTTGGTCCAGAGTGATGATGATGCATAACTGAGCATCATCAACACATTGATGGTCCTTAACCTGAACTTATAATCAGTGGCTTTGTTAATTGATTACGTGCCTTGAAGTTGATTTGACTCTTAGTGAAGATACAGATTTTCTTCAGGATGATTTGTGCCCAACATTGTCTTTCACATTGACATGAAAAAGTAGGAGGGAAGCATCAATCCCTGTAGCACTCCTAAGTGAATAGGCTTTGAGCCAATCTCCACATCTACTGATCGGAGCAGCCGATCAATAAGGAATTACTGCAGTAATGCCCCCAACTGCACCTTCATAGTTGATCCAAGATACCATGGTAAGTGTTTCTTAAGGGAGCTGAGAGGCCAAAAATCAGCGGGGGTGGAGGGGCATACTCCATTCATCCAGGCCTGACAAATGTGACTAATGCAGTTTCTCCTTCAAGCCCAGGCCCAAACTTAGAAAGGTTTCCGCCACAGAACCAGTCCTACCGCCTTGAGAAATGCCTTAAAAATGAAGGTTATTATTCTATCGCCAGAACAAGATAGACTCGAGACCAGAGTTGAGTTCAGCTCTTTATTTAACTGTCAGTAACTTCAACTAAACTCAAGCAGCGGCAGCCTCTTTTATAGCGGCTGCTCACGGCTCACAACCAATGGCATCATTTTAAACCTCCCGCCGTTTAGGCGGCCAATCATCATATGTTGTTAACCATCAATCGCTAGGCGGTAGTGATTGTCCAATCGGAACGTAGTATTACGAGAATGCAAATGTCTATATACAACACCCCTCCCCTCTTGGTACGGTCCAACTTTACGTGACGTAGTCACGCAAATAGGCGGGGCTTTTGTGGGTCCTACTTGAACAGCGCAGCTCAGTCTCTGTGTTGTCTTCAATCGTTTCGGACGGGATCGATGTTTCTCCTGTCCTTCTCTCAGGAACCTCCTGGAAGGGTGAGTCAGCCATGCCACTCCTGCCGGGCCTTGTTAGGTTGGTTGAGCTGGTTTCACCACTCCCTTCTGGCTTACTCAGGCAGGTAGAGTCGGCTCGGCTGCTTCTTCCCTGGTTCTCCTCCGGCTCCCTTCTTTCAAACTCGCCTGTTGGTAAGTAGTTTTTATTTGTTCTTGGGCTTTCTGTTGCTGGTTGGTGGCCTGTTTTTAATCGTGTTAAAGGAGGGTTTTCCCTTTCTTTATTATTTAAGGGTTCCCCCCCCTCTCTGGTTTTATTATTACTTATTGGCTGTTTTGTATGGGTTTGCTCTATGTTTCGGGGTGTGTCGGTGTTACGTTCGAGGTTTCGAGACCATAGTTGGTCTATGTGCCTTTTCCAGGTTCTGCCGTTCGTCATTTCCAATCGGTACGACCGGGGGCCTGTTATTTGTGTTATCGTGGCTGGTAACCAAAATGGGTCTCCAGTAAGATTTTTCGCGTATACCAGGTTGCCTGGTATAAACGTGCGGTACTTACTGGAGGAGTCTGGTGGCTTCTTGGGGTTGTAGGTGGGGTGTAGTCTGTCCATATATGTTCGCAATTTTCTGCCCATTAAAAGTTCAGCTGGACTCTTGTTTGCTGATGAGCACGGCGTTATATGTTGAATTGTGAGCATTGTATTTATTTTGTCTTGCATGTCACCCCCTTCAAGTTTTTCTAATGCTTCTTTCATGTATTGAATCATGCATTCCGCCCGTCCGTTTGACGCTGGGTGGGCTGGCGCTGTCAGGGCATGTCGTATGCCTTGTTCTGCAAGGAATTGTTCAAAAGCTAAAGCTGTGAACTGTGGGCCATTGTCTGAGACTAACATGTCTGGTAATCCATGAGTGGCGAAAAGTTTCTTTAGTTGTTTAGTGATGGCTTCAGTCGTTGTTGAACTCATGATGCTGACCTCCAACCAGTTCGAGTAGGCATCAACGATGATTAAAAATGTATATCCCTTTGTGGGTCCGGTGAAGTCTATGTGGATCCTTGACCAGGGGCCTCTGGGTGTCTCCCAGTCAAGGACCGGTGCTAAAGTGGGGGTAAGTCTGGACGTCTGGCATTTATTACATGTTTTTACCCATGTTTCAAAGTCTTTGTCTATTCCTGGCCACCAGACGTAGCTTCTGGCCAGGGACTTCATTTTTACCATGCCCGGGTGTCCCTCGTGTAACATGTTCAGCACGTCTTCCTGTAATTTTCTTGGAACAACAACCCTATCCCCCCACAATATACATCCTTTTTCAATTGACAGCTCAGTTTGCCGGGTTTGGAATGGTTTAAAAGTCTCGTTTTTGTCGTTTTCCGGCCAGCCCCTCCCCACCCAGTTCAGGAGTCAGGCCATTAGTGTGTCTTTTGCGGTTTCCCTTGCGATGTCCAATGCGGTGATGGGCAGGTTCGATATTGTTTCAATTTGCAGGGTGCGTGTGGTGGGAGCTGGGTCGTCGTCGTGGTCTGGTAGAGGTGAGCGGCTCAGTGCGTCGGCGTGGGGTATGGCTTTTCCTGGTTGATAGACAAGCTTGTAGTTGTAGGCTGCAAGAAATTCCGACCATCTTGTCATCCTTGGAGACAGGATGTTAGGGGTGGCTCTGTCTCCTGCCAGGATTCCTAACAGTGGCTTGTGGTCGGTAATTAAGGAAAATGTCCTACCATAAAGGTATTCGTGAAAGTGTTTTACCCCCGAGATAGCGGCTAAGGCTTCTCTGTCCAGTTGGATGTAGTTTCTTTCAGCTTTTGACAGCGTTTTGGAATAAAAGGTGATCGGTGCCTCTCTGCCATCAGGTAGTGTGTGGCTAAGTATTGCGCCTACGCTGAATGGTGAAGCGTCGCAGGTGACAGTCAGTGGTAGCGTGTCGCTGTATTGGATTAATACAGATTTGGATGTTATTAAGTCCTTAATTCTTTGGAATGCAGCTTCTTCTCGTCGGCCCCATGCCCAGATGGCTTTTTTATCGAGTAGTCTATGCAGTGGCTCCGCTATTGTTGCCTTCTGCGGCAAAAAGACATTATAAAAATTAATGAGTCCCAAGAGTGCCTGCAAGTCTGTTTTGTTTTTGGGTCTGGGTGCTTCTTTTATCGCTCGTATTTTTTTTCCGGTGGGGTGGATTCCTGCTTCATCAATAAGATATCTAGGAACTTGACCTGATTTGTGGAAAGTTGGCATTTTTCTTTTTTGACCTTGAGTCCTGCTTCTCTAAACCTTTGCAAGATTGCCCTTAGCCGGTCCTTTAGTTGTTTTTTATTTCTGGCGGATACCAATACATCATCAAAATAGGGAACCACCCCTTTTAGTCCTTGGAGGAGGCATTCCATCAGGCTTTGGAAAACGCCGGGGGCCACGCTGACACCAAATTGCAATCTGTTGCATTTAAATGCCCCCCTATGTGTTACAATAGTCTGTTCCTCTGCCGTCTTGGAATCAACCGGCAATTGTTGATATGCCTGCGCGAGATCGAGCTTTGCAAAAACTTTTCCTCCCCCCAATGAGTGCAAGAGGTGCTGGACTACTGGAACGGGGTATACGCTCTGCTGTAATGCGTGGTTCAGGGT